AGCTTTGTGCGCGCCAAGACTTCGCTTGCGAGAGTGCAGCTAACACTATAAACACAAGCAAAAGATGGAAGGTGTTGTAATCCGCCTCCTGGTGGTGTTCTCTGGTATAGTCTGAGTAGTCTGGGCACCTACTTCACTTGGGAAGGAGACACCTAGGACCACATTACGCGCGGAGGAAAGTTGAAAGATGATGGAGGCATGTCTGGATAACTCAGGGTTTTTGAGACATTCCCCTTGGTGAGTATTCACGGATGAGGGTTGACTTGGGATGAAGAGAAAGCTGCCATACCTTCGCAGTGGTACTTGCAAATGAAATCCGAAGCATGAGTGCTCTTCCTTCACGTTGAATCATCTATTCTCTACTTTTCTTTGATATTGTGTCATAGCTAGATAGCTGCATACGCAATTAAAATCCGATGCAGAAAAAAAAAAATAAGGATACCTATTCAGTGTTATATTCCCTCCAATGTCTTCCATGCCGCTCCACTCAAAAGTTCTCATTCGATCATGCACTAAGAGGAGCCCTTAGCCCTTCATTATCTCCCCTTTCCAGCCAGCGAAACGACGGCCATCTGCGCGTGTATGGCAGCCGGGAAAAATCGCAAAAACCACTGGGTGCGGGGCTCTTCTAATACCGATATTGTGACTAAATCCGAAGAAATAGTGCCCCTTCTGAAGCGTTCGAAGAGGCCGGCCAGCTAGGCGCTGTAAACTGGAGTGCGCCTCAGAAGTTCCTACTTCGCCTTTCTAGCCTCCTTCCAACTCTTTCCCGAAGGTCGTGCTGAAATGTTGGAAAAGTCTTCACAGCGTGTGATTGCTGTTTGGTAGCTTAGCCTAACTTCTTTTGCGCGTGTCCCTCGAGCTATGTCTCGTCTTTATTTATATACATCACATCCCCCAAACACCGATCTCACCCTTTGTCCTTAGTCTAGACTACTTGGCTTTTGAATGCTTTAACAATGCAGACCCATGCCAGGAACTGATGACAATAAAATCTCTTTCATCGGATTTCCCAAAGCTGACTCGGCCTCCGATCAATACCGTCTCCTTTCCCTGCTTTCCACTGACTCCGACACATAACTCAAGTGAATACCACCTTGCAAATTCACTAGAATAAATAATCATAAGTTCACTAAGATGTAACCCAAACAAAAGGAAATTCTGGTCAAAATATTATAACAAACATAGCCGGAATCTCATCATCCTGCGTTCGATTGTTAAATCTTGAATTTGATTTCATTTAACCCGATTTGGCGCTCTATGGGCCCATGCTGGCGGCTATGAACCTATCTATTCGCTTTCATGAGGGGAAGCCATTACGATAAACCCACCTCCCTCTATTAAATTTTCTATATTTCTGTAGTCATTCGTTACCTGCAGTAAGTGCTATGTGCCATTGCTTCGAGACAGGACTAGCTAAAATTGTAGGTGACCTCGCCATCCTTTCCCTGCCCTCGCTTGCTGAAAAAAGATGACTGTGGTCTGAAGCTCGATCCTGATGGCGCTGTTAGTTGAGGTGGTGGGCCTATGGCCACGAGATATTTTCGCGGGCGCCCCGGCCCTCTCTTGCCGACCTCTGCCCTCTGGTATTACACCGGTGTGAACGCTTGGATGTCTATTTTTTTGCCGCTGGTAAGATCTCCTCCCTTCTTAGATCTATCGTTCTCTCCAGGAGTCCATACCTGGCCCTTTGAACGCTGGCTCTGTATGCGCGAAGTTAGGATACGCCCCCTTCTGCTACGACTTATGGGCTTTGCCGCAGTTGCAGCAAAGCACCGACTTCCTCGGGCGGTCTCTGGTCTAGTGAGTGCCCGCACACTCACCACATCTTTTCGCCTTGTTGCGCGAGGCTTGAGCATGCCCCCAATGGTATCAGTTGAAGCACTGCTTGTCTTGTGCCTGGGGTGACCATAGCTGGGCCGTGTATAGCATTGAGTTGAGTAGAATGCCGTTACGAATCACCTCGCGTTAAATAACTTCTATCAGTAGGCTAGCGATCACTGACCCTCGAGTATGGCCATTTTTGTTCATCCATTGGTGCTACTTTTCATCGCAAAGCCACCTTTGTTAATTTGGATTCCAGGAATCCGAACTTTTGACTCCGAATTTTTTGGTAAATCACACTACAATTATCGGCGTTTTTCCACCCTTGTATCATTGTCCCCAAAGGCACTCTCAAAACTTCAACAGAACGATCCTGCCTTACGACGCAGAAGTCCTTTGGCTGCGCCACATTCAAGGCAGCATCTTGCTGGGAGATCGACTGCACGAACACCTCAGTATCGTTACTCCTTAACTGCCTTACGGCGTATGACCCAACGATATGTATCTTTGATTTGTTAAGCAGCTCTGCCAACTACATCTTATCCGCCCCTTGAATGCTAATTCTTACTACCGCTTTAGTCGCTGGTGGTGCGACGACTGAGGCGTAAGTGGGTCGACCTCCAATTTCTCATGTCGACTGAGGAGCAGTCTTGCGCACCGGATCCTCGAGGCTCTTCTTTATTGACTTTTCTAAGGCCGGCATCTTTTCTTCCATTAGTATCGCTTTCATTGTCGATTTTAGTGACAGTGCGAGAGACTTTGGGGCGTCAGTAGCCCCATCTACCTCCGCTATCGTTGATGCAGTTGGGTTAGTACCTGATATCACCAGTCTGTCGCTAACCTTGTCTAGGAAAAACTATATGAGCTTCAAGTTTTCCATTTTAACGCCTGTAGATTTAATGAAAGACTCTACAGCCGTTATTGCGGCTGTTGCGCTACCCATTGTTGGCTGTGATGGTGCCGCGAAGAAATTTGGGGGGCTAGGTAATAATGGTTTGTTATAATGATGACAATTATCGAAACAATGAAATAACGTTCGTGGAACCTGGTCAACTATTAAATTAATTTGAGCTTTGTGCGTGACAAGACTTCGGTTTCGAGAGTGCAGGCGACACTATAAACACCGCCATGGCTGGATGGTGCGGTGGTATATCGTCTTGGCCGGTCTGCCAAGTAGAGTCTGGATAGCTTGGACACATATCCCACTCGAGACAGTAGATCGCTGGTTCAAATCCGGCAAAACACAACCACATTTCTCGCGGCGCTGGTATACATGGATGACGAAGGCATGCTTGGATAGTCAAAGGTTTTGAAATTCCCTTTGGTAGGTACTAACGGAGGAGGGTCCACTGTTTGTGTAAGCAAGCATACCTCATAGTGGTATTTGCGAATAAAATCCAGAGTATGAGTGTCTCTAACGTCAAAAGAGTCATCCTACATGTATACATAGCACCGGTCATGTGTCATAGCTAGATATTTTTTTTTTTTTTTTTTTGCATCAGATTTTAATTGCGTATGCAGCTATCTAGTCATAGCTAGATAGCTGAATACACATTAAATGATTTAAAAAAAATTAATTATGAATGTCGGTCCCCCATCGAATCTCGTGATCTACTGACGGTATTAAATGAAGAGAAACAATTAAAGGGAAAAATTGTTTACATTAATACATTATTCCGTTACAATCACACTTGTGTGTGTGCCCTTTCGAAGAAATTTGTGACACGAACCCCGGTATTAGATGCATAAACTTCCTCCACTAAAGTAAGAGCCCAAGATGTGCTGGGAGAGAGGGATGAGAGCCCTGTGGGGCTGTGCCTGGCAATGCCCGAGGTGGGGTTCAAAATAATACCCCAACATTTCCCTGGCTTTAGCTCACCATATCATGCGACTTTCTAAGTGTCAACGCTGCAAGGGATTTCCTGTACCAATAATTGTCACATAAGAGATTGTTGGGCTTATGTTGGGAATCTTGAATGTCGTCATCCGTCACTCAAGTCGACCGATTATGCTTGGTATGAAAGAGTGACGATGCAATAGATACAAGCAGAATAAATTTATATAACTGAATATCTGAGAACTCAAATGCAACAGTAATACTATCACGAAGACAAATATACATAGATTCCTCTATCCCATACTTGTGTTATCTTCATGAGTTATTCTTGATAGATTTCTCTAGAAATTTAACGCAATGATCCAGACGGCTGTCTAACTATTTTCAAAGAGTGAAATTTGTTTTATCGCATTTCTAGAGCTCTTATCCAAACTGCTCTGACTTAATCTAATGATATTGATTACTGTAATGTTAATCTATATTTCAATAAGGCACACGCAACACATCGGAATAACCTGTAGAGGACCAAGTTACAGTTTCCTTGTTAGCAAGTGTCCTATTGTGATGCTGTTCCAAATGATTTTAGGATCAAGGTCTCTTCGAAAAATTACAAGGAAAAAGATGAAGAGACATGAGACTGATTGCAGGGGTTTAAACTAGGGGACTTAACACTGGACAAACTTTAACAGAATAGATGTCTCTGGTACCATTTTAAAGCGTTAGGGGTAGTTGACCCTGCGGCTTATTCAATTCTCATCTATATCGAGGATATCTCTATTATGATTGAAAAATAATCAACTATCATTTGCATTACCCATCAGTAGGGAAAGCTAGTTCAATGATGTGAGATTTCTACTTCATTGATCCACTAGACGTCATGGGTACAAGCAATCATTCGGGTCTAAAGGATAAATTGTTGTAGATGAAATAAAATTTACGAATAATTCGTAAGCTTAGAGTCATTCTCTCTAGATATCCTTACCTTATGTCATTGCCAAAAAAAGATAGTCATTCCCGAGCTATTGGAATGGTTGCACATGCTGTCAGAAAACAGGAGCACATCCCTTGTAGTAAATCTTGTACGGAAACGATAAGATGATGACCTGTGAATGTGATTTTGACGTCACCAATATATACTGACTGTCAAAATGCTGATTCATTTCAGAGTCAAATCCTCTATAAACTCTCTCAAAGAAACTTGATAGTTTATATTTTCATCTCCTCAGATTCAAAAGCACTACTTTTCAAGTTCAACAATCAATTAGAACCTGTTTAATTATTAAGAATCTCTCTTTTTTCTGCGAGCTTAATCTTTAATAGCGGCGGTTTTCATAAGAAAATGAAGCTTACGTTAACTATTCTCATTGCTGGTCTAGCTACACAAACTGTTGTGGCCACTAATTGGTTTAGCAAGGCTGGTAAGTCGCACCAAGAACACTTCTTTGGATTATCTTTACGAGTTTTGGTAGCAACTTGGTTAGAACTTTCCTGACTTTTTTTAGTTTACAACAAATGGCATGAGACTGAACTTGAGCGATGGCTCTCTGACAATGGAATCCCCTATCCATCGGCAGCTGACCGCAAAGATCTAGAGAAAATTGTCTCCGAAAACTGGAAATCTAAAGTTGCTGAACCGTATCTTGATTGGGATCCAAAGCAACTAAATGCTTACTTGAACCAAAGACGCCTTGAAGCTGCAAGTGAAACTACAGATACCAAGGAAAGTTTACTTAATAGGGTAAAGAGCAATTGGTATGAGAGTGAAGAAAAAGCGGAAGATGCGTGGAGCAGTATTAAGGATTGGATCTTCGACAGTTGGTCAGATAACGCCTTACTATCCTTTGCCGATAATTACGGTATTCAAGTTCCACAGCCACAAAAACGCGACACAATTATTCAAGCTCTTCGTTCGAACTATGAGGCTGTTGCAAACAAGGCCGGAGAAACTGTAGAATATCCCGGTAATTGGCTGTATGGATTATGGTCTGAATCTGGTATTTTTGATATCCATAAATCCTCGACTTTCATGCTAATAATGATGTAAGACTTGAAGGAGTGGCTTGACTCTCATGGCATCCCTGCACCACAGCCCACATCGCGTGATGCGCTCATTGCTAGCGTCCGTCGTAACTCCCGGATTGCTAGTCTTAGGGCCGCCGACCTGCAGAGATCCGAGAAAGGATACGGCGAATCTACCAAACAAAAAGTGAAGCAAAAATTCTTCGATGGATGGTCTGACAGTAGTAAGCATTAGAAATACTTTTTATGCCCTACAAAGGCATTAACTAATCAAGCTAACTATTCGTTTCAGAATTGAAGGAATTTCTTGAGAAGAATGGCATAAATATTCCTAAGGGAAGCAAAACGGCAGAGCTTCATGCTCTAATTAATAAAAATCGAGCACAGTTCTCTGATAATACTATTTCGTCATTTTCGAAAAATTTTTTTAGTCAAGCAAGTGATTCAGGAGCCAGTGCCTTTGGTGCTGCAACATCAAAAGCTGGAAACCAATTTGCTAAAGCTACTGACGCAGCATCTGGAGAGGCAGAAGATGCTTTCAATGCTGCAAGTGATTCTTGGAGCGAGGTAGCTTAATATGACCCCTCAAGAGTTAACTAAAGACTAAGCTTCTCCGTAGTCCAGACTCAAGGCCTACCTTGATTCACGAGGCGTACCTTTACCGAGGACTGATAAGCGCGATGAATTGTTGGCTGCCGTTCGTCTAAATAAGCATAAAGCTGCAAATGGCTGGTCTACGTGGACATTTGATACGTGGACTACTGATAATTTAAAAGCGTATTTGGCTTCTTTTGGAAATAAGGCTGCACAAGATTCAGCTAAAAAAGTTGGTGCTACTCGTGAGCAATTATTGTCGGCTGCTCAAGATGCTTACGCTACAGCATCGAAGTCCAGTGGTTCTTCGTATGCTTCTGTAACTTCTTACCTGGCTCAGCAGACAGACGCAGCAAAGGATTCAGCTTTTGATACATGGACAGAATCAGAGGTTATTCCACCAAATTATCATAAGGTACACTACTAATGTTCTATAATAGTTAAAGGACTATCTTGATTCCTATGGTATTCCTGTACCACAAGGTTCTTCAAAAGATTCTTTGATTGCCTGGGCTAGGCAGCAGCGTAATTACTTTCAATACGGAACCTTGAATCCACAAGAGGGATTGTGGACTAAGTTGCAGCAGGGTGCACACTGGGCAATGGGAAAAGTTGGAGCTGGTCACAAACAGGCTGAAATGGCTGCAGATATAATCAAGGATAAAACAACTTCTACTACTGATCGTACCGGAGAGGCTGCTGAAAAAGTAAAAGATAGAGTAATAAGCTCTGGGGACCAAGCCAGCGATGCAGCAAAGACCATAGAGATCAAAGTTGAGTTGTAGATGGTTGGGAATATGATATTTGATAACGGTTATTGTGATAGATATAGATATCGGGTTACTCCTGCTGAGCACTTGTTAATCACTATCTTCAGTTGGCAAGTCTATACACTATGTTAGACCCATAATATCTAAGGCTAATATGAAGCAAAACCTCGGACTAACATTGCATAACATGAGTCTGACAGGTGGATAGCATTATTTTTAATTATTTATATCTTGATTTTGACTTTGATTTTTTCACCTGACTTGGCGCACCATGGGCCCATGGAGGTTGCTACAAACTCATCTACATATTTACATCAGAAGAGACCTATCGGTGGAAACCTTCCAGAACTCTTTGTTTGTTGTCTCTCATTTTCACACACGTTCATCAGCCAGCGCAGTTACACTTTAGCGCCACTCATGTAATCCAATCACATCATCCATATTAACTCCGAGAATTGTTTGACCAAAACCTTTCCCACAACAGCATTTCGACCGCCCTTGTCATCTAGAATTGTTATATCCAACACTGATTTAGGATCTACTGTGTAATCCTATGATGTCACCAGGATTATTTATCATAGCTTCGTAGGACCTATTTTTGACTTGTCTCCAGATCTCGGCTCTACCGTTTGAACTTTTGGGGCAGGACATGATGCTTGGGATTCTATGATTGGTAGTCACATAGACAGCCTTGATTGGATACTCTGGGCGCTTTCCTTCTGTGTAAATACGAATTGAGCCCCATATGCTCACTGCGAATTTACACTGCCAAACTACTTTTGGCCCTTGTTAGTTTTCGATTTAGAAAAAATTGACAGTCTTGTAGACTGAGTTTTTGCTGACCAGATATTATACTGGTAATTTCGGCCGCTCTCCAAGTTTAGGTATCTGCAGTTACTAGCTGCTTGGGTTTCCGACTTCGTTTCTGGTTGACCCAGAATTTCGTTCACTCTCGGCATGCCAAAAATTCTCCTATCTCTGTATGTGTCTTCTTGGTTAGGTGTTCACCGCACATTCTCTCCAGTGGGCAATATTTATCCTCCTGTTAATTATTCGTACATCTTCTCTTCCTTTTTTGGGCAACTTGATTTTACTACAGGTGGACGGGATTGTCTTCTGGACAGCTATTATGACTAGAGTTTATTTGTCGCTTTGGGACCATGTAATAAATATAGGTCCTTTCTACCCACAGGCCAAGGATACCTATGCCAGAAGAATATCCCATCTTGTCCCTTTTTAACGGCTAGCCTGTTATAGTGTCACCTTTCACAGGTCCTCATTCGGTTAAACGCTGAGACAGCCCCTTAAAATTTCATCATCTGCCCTCTTTTGTCAACAAAAAGTCAAGATTTTACGGGTTGATGATAGCCTGAGAAATTTGCAAAAGCCACTGGGTGCGTGGTGTAGGACTAGCCATGAGCTCATGGAAAAACAGTAACTGTACCCTTTCGTGCTTGGTCAATTTTTACTCATGATTCTCGTGTCAAAGACTATTTGGCAAAATGGACCTCTATCTATCTCAGGCCACACCTTTTACAGTTCTCTTATCTTCTATTGTTAGTGTTCAATGACCTATTACTTAATAGTCATTTATGACAAGCCTTCGAATTGGAGCTAATTATGTTGATGAGGGTTGGATGGTGCAGTTGTAAACCATTCGGCCCATTCTCCCAAGGAGACATCGGGTAGCTCGTATTATTTATACCATTGAAATTAGGAGAAAGGGAGTACGAATCCAGTCAGACCCACACTAAACTCTCTTGCGGTGACATTGCATCTGTGGGGTGATGGAGGCACACTTGAATTAACATAGGGTTTTCGCACTTTTCCGTGTGGTGGGTATGCACGAAAGAGTTTACACGCCGTAAGGGTTAACGTCGAGTGGTATCTGAAAATGAAATCTGAGTCTGAGTGTTCTAAACGTCGAATTGAGTCATCCTACTTAAAGTACACATCTTCCGATAAAACCTGCATGGGCCTCAAGGCGCCAAAACAGGACAATCGAATTATTTATTTATTTTATGTTGAAGAGTTATGAGTTATGAATTACCCGTTTAGGAATGACGTTAGGAGAGAGGGACAGCTACTGTATATGCGTCTTTAGAGAGATTAAGATATGAATCAAGATATACGATAACTACCGATTGTTATTACTGCTGTAGAAAGCTTGTGATACAAATGACGTTTGAGCCTTTCGAATGTTGGAAAAATAAGGGCTTTAATTTATTCTTACGATTGGAAGCCAATCGGCTCGTATTTACTCGTAGAAAATAATATTGGCTTCTGCAGGATCTTCTGCTTGAAGTAAAGATATAAGATTAAGAGGCATAGACACGTTTGTGATGATCTCGGACTCGTTGACCTAATGATTAGTTTCTTTTAATTAATGAGTGTATACACCCTCTTAAGAAAGATACGTGGGACACGGTATTGAGTTGTAAATGTTGACTAGAGAGCCCTACAGCTACAGATGAAGACTATGTACTGTTATTGGGTCACACGACCTGACTTTTTTTTTTCTGCATCGGATTTTAATTGCGTATGCAGCTATCTAGCTATGACACAATATCAAAGAAAAGTAGAGAATAGATGATTCAACGTGAAGGAAGAGCACTCATGCTTCGGATTTCATTTGCAAGTACCACTGCGAAGGTATGGCAGCTTTCTCTTCATCCCAAGTCAACCCTCATCCGTGAATACTCACCAAGGGGAATGTCTCAAAAACCCTGAGTTATCCAGACATGCCTCCATCATCTTTCAACTTTCCTCCGCGCGTAATGTGGTCCTAGGTGTCTCCTTCCCAAGTGAAGTAGGTGCCCAGACTACTCAGACTATACCAGAGAACACCACCAGGAGGCGGATTACAACACCTTCCATCTTTTGCTTGTGTTTATAGTGTTAGCTGCACTCTCGCAAGCGAAGTCTTGGCGCGCACAAAGCTCAATTCGTAAAACTCTTGCCAAATTTCAAAATGACATGCCCGTCGAGTTTGTATCCTTCCATTGCATCGTCTTGTCAACTAGTCCTGATCCCTCTCACGGCCATCCCAAAGAATAGTCTCCCAGATTTGTGCGCCACGCTTGCTTCCTCCGTCGGGTATAAATATCGGCGTGGGCGTGTATTTGGTGACCGGCTAAGGCCAGAGAAAGTCGAGGAGAGGTGTGGTCATTGAAACGAGGATGTACTATGTCGTACTTATAGACTTGATGAAGCTTAGTTGAGAATCGGAATCTTTGGGAGTGAAAGATTGACATGGTGGAGTAGTTTGAATTTTTGCCTCGTGGGCCAACCTCTTTGATATTGCGAAAATTCGACTGAACTTGGCTCTTGGAGAATATTTCACTCCCAGGTTCGTAGAGGACACCGCGTACAGGTGTTCCGTCTTGCCCTCCACACGAACTGACTAACTTAGTTTACATGAGTAGGTGGAATAGTTCCCCTTGACACACCCTATTATTATTATTAATTCATTTTATTGTCCTGTCTGAGTCTATGACTATGTAGGACATGCAGGTCCTCTTTGCCTACAGGCCAAGGATACCTATACTAGTAGTATATACCCTCCTATGCCTCCCATACAGCTCCCCTCAAACAGTACCACCCCTCACAAGTCCTCATTCGATCATACACTAAGAGGAGCCTTTTGCCTTTCATTACCTCCCCTCTCCAGCCAACGAAAAGATGGTCATTTGCGGGTGTATAGCAGCCAGGAAAAATCGCAAAAACCACTGGGTGCGGGGCTCTTCTAATACCGATATTAGGAATAAATCCGAAGACATGTTGCCCCTTCTGAAGTGTTCGAAGAGGCCGGCCAGCTGGGCGCTGCAGATTTGTGGATACCTCGGGAAATTCACCCTCTGCCTTTCTAGCCTCCTTCCAACTCTTTCCCGAAGGTCGTGCTGAAATGTCAAAAAAGTCTTGACAGAGCGTGATTACTGTATGGCAGCTTAGCCCAACTTCTTTTGTACCGTCCAGGGCGCTGGGGAGTGCCGTTGACTCATCGATAAAAGAAGTCCTCCTGGCTAATTAGCCGAAATCTCGGTCTTGGCGCCCACACAGAATCCAAAGATGAAAACTCCTCGAAAATGTCAGTCCCGGCATGGTCTTCAAAGACCTGTTCCCCTCTCGTTCCACTTCTCAGCCGCCTGTCCTTCCTCAAGATGTACAACCCCATTAGAGCATCAGTCCCCCATAAACCAAGACCGCAACTTTGTATTTTTCGACTTGATTTCCTCCTTGCGGGTATAAATAGCGTCGTAAATTTGTAGTGAGTGATGGCCGGCGATGAATGAGGCAAGCTCCTGTTTGCAATTGGGGTGACGGCTTTATCGGTCGGCGAGGCGAGATGATATGTGGTTAGAAAGAGGTTGAAGACTCAGAAGATAATGGTGAGTGCTGCATGGTTGAGAAGTCGTCAAATGAAGATATGCATGTGTTTGCTTTCGACTTTGATTTGGATTTTGATGCGATTCTTCTTGGCTACCCCAGATATGCAGAGCATACTGAGCGATTACACCGGCACCACTGGAAGGTGAAGAATTCGTCTTTGCCGGCTTGACACACCCTAAAAAGCTATATCACTTTGAGATAATACGTCTCTAGTTGCTGGGATAATTTATGTAGCTGGATTTATATAGAGTCGGTGGTTGCTTTTTTTGCATAAAATTTTATTTGCGTATGTAGCTATCTAGCCATGATTCTTGCTCAGTGATTTGTATACATGTTGGAGCCAGGCGTCCTCATCGTGTTCATTTTGATTTGAATACTTCTTGTATCAGGCTTAAGACCTGGACCTAATAGGTGTGATAGGTGTTTATGGTTCCCAAGGACCCATTACAACCTTATTACATAGTTTGCCTGACAAATATTAAGGCAGAAAACATAAACAGAAATTAATTCCAAGTAAGAAAATACCTTGTGCCTTTTCCCCTTCCTCAGAATACTTTCCCTTAGGGAACATTATTCTTCGTCAGAACCTAATCCTCTCGATCTTGGCTCTGCCTCTCGTATCAATT